CTCTTCAATTCCGTCCTCCATGGTGGCACTACTCCAGAGGCGTGGAGCAGAAGTGCGGTGGTCTTGTTCTTTAAGAAAGGCGACAACGCTCTCTTAAAGAACTACAGACCGATTTCCCTTCTGAGCCGCGTCTACGTGCTGTTTTCGAGAGTCATTACGAATCGTCTCGCACGCAGACTTGACGACTTCCAGCCTCCCGAACAAGCCGGTTTCCGAAAAGGCTTCAGTACCATAGACCACATACATACCCTGCGGCAGATTGTACAGAAGACTGAAGAGTACAATCTGCCACTTTGCCTGGCGTATGTGGACTATGAGAAAGCCTTTGATTCCGTCGAAATTTGGGCGGTGCTACAGTCCCTTCAGCGGTGCCAAGTTGACTGTCGGTATATCGAAGTGCTGAAGTGTTTGTACAGTAGGGCTACGATGGCTATCCGAGTACAGAACCAGAGCTCGAAACCTATCCAACTGCAGAGAGGTGTAAGACAGGGTGACGTTATATCCCCGAAACTCTTCACCGCTGCATTGGAAGACGTTTTCAAGCTACTGGACCGGAAAGGATACGGTATTGACATCAATGGCGAGTACATCACTCACCTTCGATTTGCCGACGATATAGTCCTTATGGCAGAATCGCTGGAGGACTTAAGCACTATGCTCAATGACCTCAATAGTGCCTCCCAACGGATAGGTCTTAAGATGAACATGGACAAAACAAAGATCATGTTCAATGTCCATGTCACACCTATGCCGGTAGTTGTTGGGAGCACTATGCTCGAAGTTGTTGACGAATACGTTTACCTGGGACAAATAGTCCGACTAGGTAAGTCCAACTTCGACCGAGAGGTCAATCGACGGATTCAACTCGGCTGGGCAGCGTTCGGGAAATTACGGCATATCTTTTCGTCAGGTATACCTCAATCTCTAAAAACTAGATTGTACAACCAGTGCGTGTTGCCAGTGATGACTTACGGATCTGAGACGTGGTCCTTCACTGCTGGCCGTATGAGGACGCTTAAGGTCGCTCAGCGAGCTATGGAGAGGGCTATGCTCGGAGTTTCTCTGCGTGATAGACTCAGAAATGAGGATATCCGCAGTAAAACCAGAGTGACCGACATAGCCCAACGGATTAGTAAGCTGAAGTGGCAATGGGCCGGCCATATAGCTCGAAGAACCGATAACCGATGGGGAAGAAAGGTTCTCGAGTGGCAGCCTCGTACCGGTAGGCGTAGTGTAGGGCGACCCCCCACTAGATGGAGTGACGACCTGGTAAGACATGCAGGAAGTCGATGGATGCAGGTGGCTCAGGACCGTGCTTTGTGGCATTACTTGGGGGAGGCCTATGTTCAGCAGTGGACTTGTGAAGGGCTGTAATGATGATGATGATGTAATTTGTATCTAAATATAATTTCCAAAAAACACGAATTAAAAAAAAATCGAGCGAAAAATACCGAGCAAAGCTCAGTCAACCGGGTACTAATTATATTATTCTTGAAGTTATGACTTATATGTAATTTTGGACAAATCGTTAATGAATGCCTCGTTTATCTAGTGGATATAAAACATGACTGCTGACCATAAAGGACTAGTTTTGAATCTCGAGAGGGGCCAAAAAAGTTTCTATTGAGTTCTTTTCTTAAGACATTCTTAGTAGCATTCCGGATTGAGAAAGATGGTAGTGATTCAGTCCATTGCTTCGGAGACATATAAAGATGTTGCTCCTGCGTCTGATTTCTCTGCAGCTATGTCGGTTTGCCGTCTTATCGAACTAAAGAGTAAGGGAATAGATGGTACACCTATTCTTACGCATAGTTAAGGGCATTATTATCCTCTCCTGCGCAGAAGTCTCCGTTGAGGTAGGCCACCGTGACATAAATTCAGTATGGAGAACACCACGCAATATTCAGATCCGATGAGTAAAAATTACTACCTGTTTTTTTTTTAGCTTCATAAAGTATATAAATAATTTGTCATACTTCTAAGTATTGCTGCTGTAATAGAAAGATTAATCTATGTATAATTAAAATAGTTGTGGATTACCTACGTTACCTTGAACGTAGAATAGAATATTCAATAGAAATTACAAGAATTACTTATTGAAAGTCCTTTCTGCTTTTATCACTGGTTCGGAGAAATTTTTGTCAAGGGAAGAACCAGCAATAAACCTAGAGAGACTCTTTTTTTAACATAAATTTACAGTATAATATTATGTTGTACGATTATTATAAGAAAACTTTTAGAAAAAGGATGTTAGCATAGATACTAGTCGTTCATTACATCACTAAAATGGGTTTCTTTTGTACAGTATCTCCTTAACGATTTTTGGGGATTTTTTATCATTAGGTTTACTTCGTACTTTCTAACTCCTTACATGTAAAGATGTTAAAATTAAGACGATCTGCGATTACGAGATTAGAGAATGAAATAGATGAAATAAAATGTTTCTCTTACCTAGTTTGAACAAGATTATCTACATCCTTAATTGATTGTGTGCTCCTCCAACAAGACTACACTAGTAAAAACACAACCGTCGATAATGCCAACACGTGTTTGCCCTTTATATGAGTCATCATGAGAAGAAATAGACTCTGCGATGGTTGACCGCTAAGAAGGCAAAAAGCGGTCAACCTTCGTAGAGATTTTTTTCTAATTAATAATTTGAATATCTTTAATATCTCTCGTTCTAGGACAGATATCTGATTAGAATAGAATAGAACTACACAAGGAAAAACACACTACCGTCGATAATTCCAACACGTGTTTGTCCTCTTATATAAGGCATCATGAGAAGAAATAGACTCTGCGATGATTGACCGCTAAGAAGGGAAAAGGCGGTTAACTTTCGTAGCGATTATTTTTTCTCTTCATTAATTTTAACATCTTTAATATTGAATCGCTGAACATAGGCCAATCCCGTTCTAGGAAAGTTTTTTTTTTTGCGCCCGAAGTAAGGGCAACCCTCCGGAAAACGGGGAAGGGAGGTGGCGAATGCTCATAGCATACCACGCAGCCGGCTGCGTGGTTATGTGGAGACTTTTACCCACTAAAACCCACCTTTTAGGGACTGGTTTAACGGTCTAACTAGAGATCTCTAAGCCGTATACGAACGCGACCCTCCTTGGCAGAAAGGAGGGCGCAAGCGGCGAAAAGCCGCTTAGACGAGTGGCTAAGTAAGGCAGATTAAGGGATGTGTTACGTAGGCTCGGCCTGAGCCGCCAGGAGGCAGTTCAGGTCAGCCGAAAGCTTGTTGGGGGGGTCCGAGAGAGAGTTTCTCGGTCTGCGCACACTATAGCGAGTGTGGATAGGGGCTGCATAGGCAGCTGTCTCACGAATTAGATGATTTGGGTGGGACTCTGAGGCTTTGAAAAATCTCTCAGAGAGTGATTTAAGGAACTGCTGGATTGTTGGGAGCTCTAAGTCTCGGTGTAGGTCGGCATTACGGACATAATAGGGCGAGTTAGTGGCCCTACGACAGAATAGATTTTGAACTATTTGAAGTTCATTTATAGCTTTGGGCTTAGCATGTGCGAAAATGTACTACAGCCTGTAGTCATGCGAGTGATAATACAAAATAAATTCAGTTCGTGCTAATATATTTTTTCAATTACTTTAATTTGCGAAATAAGAACAAAAATATATTTCTAAAGTGAAAACTATTACGTGAAGTGAATTTCATAATTATAAACTATACACTATAATAATAGTATTTCTCTCCGAAAATCAATTATCGGCAATCGGAACATCGAATCGAGTTAAGAGTTGTGATACTCTATGCAATCGTCCTAAAGTCTTTGCTTTATAATATGTAACTTATTCTCAAACCAGATATGTACTTGTGAGTTGTGAATTCATACATTACCTACTGTATATACGTCTGAAAGATGGGTTAATACCGATATTTGTCAGTATTAGTTGATGTGAATTTTTTTGTCAAGTGATATTATGATATTTAAAGTAATTTATATGAATATTACTGATATCTTAATGCGACGGTTAACGATATGATAACTCATTCCAACGGATGTTGATATGATCTTGGCAAGAATATTGGGGAAATTCCATGACAATGAAACTAATATATTCCCAATAATTTTGTTAAAATATATAAATGTAAATATACACTATTAAAACCACCACTAAAAGGTCAAGAAATTTTAAACATCTTATTAATACCCGTCGTTAATACCCGACAAACGCTCGTATCGGTTAATTCATTCGGTCATTCGGCTCGCCCGCTCGCACCGCCATACTTACTATATGAATAATACAGATATTTGTCACGAATATTATACTACGAATATATTATACGAACAGCAACCAATTGATATTATCCAACCGATGTTGAACGGTCAGTGTTTAAATGAAGTGAATATTATGGAATATTAGCATATCAGAATCCGTTGGATTTCTTATTTATGAATCCATGAAATATTACTAATATTTTAACAAATACGAATATATCGGTTACATCTTTGTTACTTTATAGTCTGTGATATATGTGAAATGTGAATTTGTTTTGAATTTTGATTTGTTTGAGAACGTAGACAGAGAATACCTCTGGGTCTACGTTTGTGAATCATAGAAATTGAAAAATGGTGTCGAGTTTTGCGCATTATTGTAGAGAAGAGTTAAAGTAAGTGAATAAAATGAGTACAGCTCAGATTAGATTGAACCTTATCAAAGAACAGGTGGAATCTTGTAAAGAAGTTTTAATAAGTTTAAAATTGGAAAAAAGACGCCATGAGGAAATAGAGGTTCAATGGAAGTTGCTGAAATGTAAAAATGAAAGATATATAACAGAATCTCACATATACTTACAGCAAATCGAAGAACCAAGTGAGATCCAGCGGCATACTAGTTTGCAATTGGAAATAGAGCAAGTGCAAGCAAGATTGTTGAATTTGAAGATTACATAAAAATTGTTTAAAATCAGGCCACAATACAGAAAATGTCACAAGCCGTTTACCAAAATTAGAACTGCTCAAATTTCATGAGATGTGATGTGTGATGATGGAGATGTGCTTCAGTGGCAAGAATTTTGGGATAGGTTTTATTCTAGCATACATGTTAAACTAATTAGGAATGTTGACAAGCTAGCATACCTTCAAAGTTGTTTGGAAGGAGAGGCGAAAGATGCTGTAGCGGGTTTGGAGACAACTAATGATAACTATGAAATAGCATTGAACACTTTGAAGGACACGTTTGGAAGAAAATCAATAGTGGTTGATGCCCATTATAAAGAACTTTATAATATGCAAGATAAAAACTCGTCAATTAAAGTAAGTCGAGGAATATTAAATGAAATCGACAGAAACTTGAGAGTGTTACAGTCTTTGTGAGAAATTGTGACAGGAGCTCACTTGAGAACTGTTATAATAGAGAAGTTTCCAAAAGATATACGTATGGAACTAAGACTTAAAATGTCTAAGGAAGATGAGTCTGTACAGTGCATCCATAAACATCTGGAACACTTGATAAATGCAAGGATGGAAACTTCACACAATTTAGTCGCTAACTAGTACCGGGTACTACTTGTAATGCCAACGAGATTGCTTCCACCTCTACATTACTAATGAGGCAAAAGGGAAGACATATGAAATCAAGCACAAACCTTAAAATTCAGGGGGCTGTGCAGAAAAGGGAGTTAAAGAGGTGATTGGTTATCAGAAGAGATGAGCATCAAAAAAGAAAGAGGTTGGCCTGCATATTCTGCCTTGCAGATCATTTTAATGATGAGTGTAAGGCTTACAAAAATATAGAAGAAAGGAAAAGACAATTAAAGGGTCGTTGTTACTTATGTTTTAAAAATAATCATAGTGTTATTTGAAGTGTGTCAAAATAAAGTTACATGTTACCACTGTGAGAGCGACACAATAGAGCCTTGTGCCCTAAGAATTTACAAAAGAATAAACTCCATGCTGCAGTCGCAACTGAGAAAGGTACAGTATTGCAAACAGCCATAATTAATATTAGAGAGATATATAATAATCTACATAAATTATTGTTATTGGATAGCGGAAGTCAAAAGTCATATATTACTGAAAGATTTATTAATATGCTAAAACTTTCAGTACAGAAGGGTGATCAACTATACCTTTGGTCAAAACAAGCCATACAAAATAATTAGTCCAAAGGCAGAAATAAAAATATTTATTTCTCCACAAATTGAGAGATCTATTACAGTTAATATTGTACCTTTCATTGCTGACAGCGTTTCATGTTATGTTTTCAGAAACCATGGGTTAAACATTACATTAGCTGATGATGGTTCATTAGGAGAAGAAATTAATTTGTTGATTGGCAATGACTACTACTTCTCCTTTATAAATAGCGGTAAGATTTTAATTAATGACAATTTATATCTCATTGAAACAGACTTTGGTTGGGTATGGTCTGGCAAAGTTATTGATGAATCGGATCATGTTCTCTAGTTATTTCATTTTTAAATACATATTTTAGTAACAATCTAGAAATTATTCAACCTGGTCTGATTAAAAGGGAGGTTGATTTAAACCAATTGTGGGATTTGGAATCTGTCGGTATTTAAGACTCTGCAAAAACTCGAACTCCCTAATTTGCTTTAATCATTATGTTTGGCAGGCGAACTGATGATCGCAGTACCAGACGTAACCATGTTTTTTTTTAGGATAGGGTGACAAACGAGCACACAGTCCACCTGACAGTAAGTGGTTGTGGTTGCTGTGCCCATAGACATCTACATCTATCCTCGATTACAAATCAAAATGCAGATGCGTTGTCACTCGTGAGGACTAAGATGGAATGCCTCATTTTCAGTAAAAAAGGTCTCCAGTTCTCTACACTCACCATACGAAACACAGCAGCATTAAGCTACTATTTTACGCTGGTATTCTGTGAGAGCGTTGTCCTTTCCCTGTCGAGCAGACCCATTCATGCTACAACTATACTACTAATATAACTGCAGCATGGCTCTACCACGCATAAATGTATTCTGTATTTTTGAAGTAATTTAGCAAACTCTGGAAATTTTTAAGTCTTATATTTAAAACTTATAAAGTGTAACTGTCAATAAAATTAACATTTTATATTGCTTTTTGATAAGTAAATCATACAATCAAAATTAATTAAAATTAAATGTATCGTTGAAATCTCCTATTGGGCTAAGTTTTCTGTTATATTATATTCTTTTTTATTTTTAATCTCTACCTCTTTATAGAGATCTATATCCTATTTAAATATTTCAGGGGCTTCTATAAGTGACGTGACCAAGGACATGACTTTCAGTGGCATTTCTACAGCCATTGGTTTTAAATTTAAATAGTTAAAAAGCCTGTAAATGTCAAGGGCTAATTATAAAATATAAAACAAGTAAATTTTTTACAATTTAATATTCGTGCGATGGTGAATCGTGGTTCACCAGCGGACCCAACCGAAGTGTGTTCTAAAAAAAGTCTAAAGTGTATCTTTTAAAAAAAGCCCTATGTGTTCAATCGTTTATAAATTGATAAATTATTGCATAAGCTTGTTAATAATTACCTTTGCTTTGGTTATTAAATAGATCTCTGATCATAGACTGGAACCGTGCTTTAATTTTTATATATTTATGGAGGCTATTCAACAGAATTGTAATGGGAATTGATGATAAGATATTATAAACGAATGCAAGTGTCAAAATTATATAAGTCCATCTATCCATATTAGTAATTCGCAAGTTTACGACTAAACTTAGGCATCCCCCAAGGAATGCCACAAAGCACAATCCTGAGCCACCTGTATCCATCGACTTCCTACGTCGCTTACCAGGTCCATCTAGTGGGGGCCGCCCTAAACTTTGCTTACCGCGGTATGAGGCTACCATTCAAGAACTTTTTTTCCGCACGGTTGTCTGTTATTCGGGCTATAATTCCGTTCCATTGCCACTTCAGTTTACTGGCCTATATATAAGATTGTACTTGATATTTTCAGGTTGCCCTCGGCATGGATGTGCCTCAATGGGCTAAGCCAATTTTAGCACGAATTAATGAAGTATCGAGGTTGGCGTATAGTTTGTACTTTAAAACTGAAATGAAATGAAAATGATAAGTGGAGGTACTTCCATATTTTATACCATCATATAAAATGTTTAATAAGGGTTATTAATTATTGTACTACTATTAAGTATATAATTAATAACAACCGCTGGTAATTACGTGACGGCTACCAGCCATTACTAAATATTTTCATACTAAATTACTTAAAGTATTATATTGACTTTTAGTAACCAGGTCCGCCTGGGAAGGATCTATGTTGAAGGATTAATGTGGTGTTATTAAAATTTAAAACAAATGTTAATTGCTATTCATTTTATCAAGTTTTCGATTTTTTTAAAAAATCTACAACATTTCGCAAATAATAATCTTTAATGACTCCAGGCAATTTAATCTATCTGCCTGTCATGTTTCATTACAATCACTTCAGCCAATGCGAAGATTAGCCTCGACACATAGACAGACACAGACTCCCGCTATATATGGCCCCATAAGGGAAATTTTCCGTAGTTGTTACACTTAGCAGGCGATTTAGGCGATTAACAGCCCTAAAAAAGAACTGTTTTAGCAAAAACAGTTCTTTTTTTAGGGTTTTTAGGGTCTCTCATCAAACTGTCGCCTCTTACGACAGTACTCCTCTCCACGGGATGATATAAGGAAGTGGATTTTTTTACAATGCTACTACACTGGAATTTATAATAAAGATGTAACTACACTTAGTATAGTACCTATGCAACTAATACACTTAGTATAGTACATATGTAACTGAATTGTGAGTCAGTGATGATCGGGCCGGCACTGTTGTTACACGCGAAATAAAAATGTAATTAAACGCTATCCCTTACAAGGACATATTTCATTTCCGTAAATATGAAAATTAAGTTAGAATGTTTTCCATCTATTTAAAGGATTTGTAATCGACCCAATACACCGTGTCATTCTTCAAAATAGCCTCATCTAAGAGGACGTGCCTTGTTTTATACGTTGGTTTATGAAAGCTAACACCACAAATATCCAAAAATGTAATGAATAAATATAAGAGCTTGGATCCAGGAATCTTACGTTATATAAAAAAATCGTAATAATTTACAACAAAAACTACGAAAAGAGAGCCACAATGATATACTAAAAATAACGTACATTTGATACAGGAACTACTGTAATAATCTCATCAAAAAACTCAAACGTAAATATGAAAGGGAACTTCTTTCTAAATCTGTAAATAATAATAAACTTTTGTTCAAAAATATAAAATACATTACTTACAGTAGCAAATCGCTTGACGATAATAAAGAGGTAATAAACTTTAAAACTAATCCTAATTGTTATAGGAATTTCATTAATGCTTACTTCACAAATGTAGAAAAAATACTTGCATCTAGTATACAACCTAGTGCCTCTCCAAGACATAATCATTCTACTAAACATATTTCAACCCAAATTAACTCACTCATTCTGTTAGAAACTGAAGAAAAAAAAAGTTGAAAAAACCCTCATGAATCTAAGATCTAGTAGCACTCCGGGCTGGGACTGCATTCCTATATCCTTCCTGAAACTTGCACAGAAAGAACTTGCTTCTATCATTACTCACCTGGTAGGTCTCTGCTTTCAGTAAGGTAAATTCCCAAAACCACTAAAAAAAGGCAGACGTTGTTCTTCACTTTTCGACGACCCTTTGTCATGTCCTACTAAAAACCTTAAATTCGCAAAGAAAAAAATCGTGGGTCACTCATGGGCAAAAAAAAAACTATCCTATCTCTCAAGTTGGACCGAATTACACACGATGTGCAAATTTAATTAAGATCTGTTAAGTAATTTAGTAGTTCACCGCGGACAAACAACGTGACACGTAATTTATATATATTAAGATATTCTACACAATTTGGCTTCAGGCAAGGTAAATCCACACAGGACGCAGTAGCTGCCCTAAGTCAAATTATAACTGAACAGTTGGACAGAAGAAATGCTTATCAGTGTTCCTGGACCTCAAAAAAGCCTTCGACACAGTTTCTATCCCTATCCTTGTACCTAAACTGGGAAGACATACATACATACATAAACACTCACGCCTGTCACCCAGAGGGGTAGGCAGAGACTACAGACTTCCATTTAGCACGATCCTGGCATACCTTTCTCGCCTCTTCCACATCCATATACCTACGCATACATGCTCGTCGGTTAAGGGTACTCTTAATTTGGCCCATTTTTAGTATATCGCCAATTTGGTCGACAAACTTCCGCCTAGGACGTCCCTTTCCGGCTCTTCCATTCACTTCTGCAACATATATTTGCTTTGTCAGTCTTTCCGCATTCATTCTTTTTACATGACCAAACCACCGAAGCATTCCTTTATTAATCCTGGTCACCGCATCATCTTGCAAACCACACTCTTCTTTTATCACACAGTTTCTCACCCTGTCACTCAGATTCAGCCCTAACATACTCCTTAGCGACCGCATTTCTACTGCATTTATTCTACTCTCGTGCTTCTTCTGCCACACCCAACTTTCACTACCATACGTTAAAGTAGGGACTAATACAGCACTGTGAATTGCCTCCTTTTTTTGACACATTCTGACTTTTCACAATAGAGTGTAGAGCCCCATTTACTTTATTTCCTGCATTCACTTGTCGTTCAATATCCTTGTTGTTCTTTCTTTTTTCTTTTGTCCTTCTCTCCCATCCCTGTTGAATACACATCCCAAATATACGAACTCATCCACTTGCTCAATTAACTCTCCTTCTATTCTTATTTTACATACCGTTTTGCTTTCATCTCTTTCAAAAACTATCACTTTCGTCTTACTTGCGTTCACTTTCATTCCCCTTTCTTTTAATGACCTGTTCATTATTGTAACCATCATTGTGCAACTCGGCCGCTGACGACGCAAGTATGACTTGATCATCGGCGTACAAAAGGCATTTGATAGTTAACTCACCCATTCTTAACCCGCATTCTTCAACTTTCAAATTTTTCAAACAGCTGTCCATAAATAGGTTCAACAGCCACGGGGAAGCCACACATCCCTGTCTGACACCTTTATGGATGCCAAACCAGTCCGAGTAGACCCCGTTGATTCTAACACAAGCACTCGAGTCCCTATATAGAGACTTTAATGCCTGTATCAAACCAGCGCTCAACCTAAATGCGTTCAGCGTTTGCCAACACATCCCTGTCCACTCCTATATAAGCCTTTTCCAAGTCCATGAACGCACAAAAAACTTTTTAGTTTTTCGCCAAAAACTTCTCCTCGATCATGCGCATGGAAAAGACTTGATCTGTACACCCCATTCCCTATCTAAATCCCGCTTGTACATCCCTAATTTTTTCATCAGTTTCTTTCATAATGAACTATAAATAAACTGGGAAGACTTGGTATGAAATAGCTTAAAATAGCAGCTTAATACTGCTGTGTTTTGCATGGTGAGTGTAGAGATCCGGAGACCCTTTTTACTGGTTACGAGGCATTCCATCTTATTCCTCAGGGGTGACAACGCATTTACGTTTTGATTCTTAATAAAGGATAAATGTAGACGTCTATGAGCTACAGCATCCACTCACCATCAGGTGGACTGCGTGCTCGTTTGTCACCTTCATTCTGCCTACTACTACTTGGACGATACTGCTGTTATTTTCGCTGGAAGAGATTGCAATGATGTCAAGGAAAAAGCGGAGTTAGGTATAAGCTTAGTTCCTAGCTGGTTAAAGGATAATCTTCTTACCTTAAATACAGACAAGACGAACTTTATTTGTTACAGTATCCTTGACCAATAACAACCTCGTCTTGAGTTTGAAATCAAAATACACTCCTGCCATTTCTATCAGGGATTGGCTGTGTTTGTCCTGCTATTTTAAAAAACCGACAAACTAAGTATGTATCTGGGAGTGATAGTTGACCAACGGTTATCCTGGCATTCGCAACTTGAACAAGTAACAGGCAAGGTTAGGAAACTGATCTGGATATTTAACATATTTGGTGCCGGATGAGAAATTGGTTAGCCAGTACTCCCATAGGAATATAATTAACGAAATCTATATGGTGTTAGCACAGTCCCTACTAACATACTGCATTTCAATCTGGGGAGGGACGGGTAAAACTTAAATGTTTGAGGTGGAACGAGCACAACGTGCTCTTTTGAAAGTAATGCATTTCAAAAAAAGAAGGTTTGCAACTGATAAACTTTACTCCATCAGTAAAGTCTTATCAATGAGAAAATGAAATGTATTAAAAAATATAAAATCTTAGTATCGTGGGCTGACAGCATTGAACAAAAAAGAAGAAAAGCTGTCATTCCATTTAATAAATAAACTGCATTTGTTAGTAAACAATACTCAAGTCGCTCAGGTTTACTATAGTATAAAAAAATTAAACAAAGAACTAGAGATCTATAGCGCAAAAAATCAGGAATGTAAGAAATTGACTACACATTTATTTAACTCCCTTAAATTATGAAGAAACAGAGATATTATTACACAGATACATATACAGATACTAAATGAACATAAACACATACACACACCTATACTCAGTACATACTCGTATACTACTCTGTTGTAAATGTTATGATTTCTTATATTTACGCGAACACTACACATTGATTAAAACTACTTTTAATGGCGGACCCCCGTGACCATGGGTGCTGGAAAGCATCCGAAACATTGGGAATTAAAAACATTTAAAATTAAACGCGATAAAATCCGTAAAAGTAGTTTTAGTCATTAAAATATTAATTAATTTATTCACTATGTTAATTCGTCAAATAGCGAAAGCTCGGGAAATTTTGACGGCAGATTAGGCCAGCAGTTGGTTACGGTAATATTTTTTATTTTTTGTTTTTTTTTTCCTTCCTCTTTTTTTTATGTGCAGAGGGAGGAATAAAGTAACATTATTTCTGCATAAAATCTCCAAATTGTATATACCAAACCAAATTGTATATATATCACCGAAATCCGCCTGTGCTCAGGAATAATA